ACACACATACACACACACGGTTTTAAATTTTCTCTTTAAACTCTTTTCTACGGAAAAAAAAAAGATATTGTGTATACCTGTATGTATGCAGACACTAAAACAGAAATTAGGTGCACAGAGCAATCTTAAGGATTTTAAAGTTAATTGAAGCTGAGCATGATGGGTGATGTACACAATCCCAGAACAGAATGAGACAGGACGATCATACCCATCAAGATAAAACTGCAGTGCTCATCTTACAGGAACACAAGATAGCTCATTCTGGAGCCATTTCGAGTCACTATGGCCCAGGGCACATAGATTTAGACTATCTCACATTCCACGTCTCAATGTAGGAGCATTTTCATTAAGTTTTAAAATTTCACAGAACAAATACAATCACAAGTCAAGGTAGGTTTAAGATATATTGGTGAGTGTATCAGAGAGGCAGACAGCAGTTTTCTATAGGCCTAAGATGGTGTCTGATAACATTCTTAGCTTGGGGGAGGGGGGTAGAAGCCAGTGATCTGCTGAGGTAACAGATTTCAAAAGGTTTTTATCTATATGCCACAGGATGCAAGCTCTGACACAGATGGGCAAGGAATGGTTGTCCCAAGGAGCAAGAGAAAGCTACAAGCCTCTGGGCCAGCAGCATTGCAACCTCTCCACAGAGCTGTAGTTCTAACTAGTCAGCCAGCTTCTGTAAACACAGCTTCTTTGCAGGAGTTCTCACTCACAACCACAAGTTCAAGTCCATCCTGGGCTACACACGAGTTCCAGGCCAGCCTGGGCTACAGGATGAGACCCCATTTTATCACCTCTTTAAATCTCCCAAAGAGCTTAGCCAGAATTATTGTGTGTCTGAGCTCAAAACTCTTCCAAGATGCTTTCCTTCCAGGCAACCCCTAGAGTATCCTGGAATTGTTCCCAGCTGGCAGTCCCAGGGCACTTTCTACAAGGGAGAGGCCTCCTTCAGCTGAGGAAGGGATTCCATGCCAGGCTGAAAGAACCTCCATGGCTGCGCTGCCACTTGTTGCTAATAATGCATGAAAGTGACACAAATTTATCACATGACCCAGATTCTTAAACCAAAACGTAACTTTGGTGCAGAAGCTTGGTTTTCTGTTGCTTTTTCCCTTGGGAGGGAACCCTGCCTTTTTGCACCTCATTAAACACATTGGCCTTTTCATCGCTCCTTTTCTTAATCCCACAACATAATCTTTGATCATCAAGATTAACGATGACAATAAAAATCTGGGGGATAAATCTTAAGAGGACAGAGGACATATGCAGCCCCAGATGCCGAAGTCCAATTTCTGAAACTTCAGAAAGATTTATCTCCACTGATTAAATAACCTGTTTTGTCTAATTAAGCCAAACTTACTGATTTTACTGTAATCTCTTCCTATGAGATTTATCAAGTTTACAGTGGAGGAGTTAAACAGGTATTTGGGAGTGGTGATTTGATCCTTGACCTAACATTTAACCCCAACCCTTCGGGTTTCTTCAAAATTTGGCCTTGCCATGTTTTCTTGTGTGTGCTACAAGTTGTCCAGGTCACCTGTTAGTCACATACTGAGCTGGACAGGAAACACCTCCCTGGCTTCTCCCCACCTGCTGAAATGAGCAGCAGCTCCAACTGCCACGAGAAACAGGCAACGCCCGAAGAGAAGCACTCCTGAGTCATGTTGGCCAGGGGCTTTAAACCGTTCCTGACAATTCCAGCTCTTCACTGAGTGGATCTCAAAGAACTACATTTTTTTTCTTTTCTGTTAACGTGTATTTCAATATTTTAATTTTATGCATTTGTATTGTTCTTGTTTGTAAGGGCATTTGAGTGTGTGTGTGTGTTTGGTTGCATTTATTGATATATTGTTTGTGTACAATATGCATGTCTAGTGTAACAGAGGCCACAAGAGCGAACTGGGTCTCCTGGAACTGAAATTACAGATGGTTGTGAGCCACCATGTGGGTGCTGGGAATTGAACCTGGGTCCTCTGGAAGAGCAGGCAGTGCTTCTAACTGTCCAGCCATCTCTTTAACTCCTGGCAACTTTGAGAGCCAACTTTGAGAGCCTGGCTGAGCACATGCTGGAATCTCTTCCCTCTTCTGGCCAAGTGGCACTGGTGAGCTTCAGCTCCCACAGCCTCATTCTGCATCTACGAGGGTTACCAATGGCTGGCCACATCCACGTCACACTCAATAGTTTCACAGAGAGCTGTGGGTCCATAATTCAGGAAGCCAGTAAATCAAGGATTTTTGCTTCAGTGCTAGAGGAGAGACCACAGATTCCTGGATTTATACTAATGATGATAGTCATGGCCATGGCAGGAGCAACCAATGACAGGGACTAAAAGACAGGAAGGTGAGGCGTGATGCTTTGTTCTACTTTAGAGCTTGGGGATACTGGCTACTAACTGCATACCTCCCAAGGACACAGCAGGCTTGCTTACTTGTATTGTTCACACAGGGCATTAAGGGACAAAGGGGTTAGAGGAACACATTCACAAAAATATTCCCCCCGAGTATTTTTCTTCAAGGTGACATACTAATAAGCAAGAAGCTAACACACTCTTCCCTTGTCTGTGGATCAGCAGACTAGGTCCCAACAGCAATTAAACTGATCACAGTGTGCTCGGCTAAACATAGTCCTCAGCCAAAATAGTATCTTATTTGCATAAGTATGGACTCTATCATCATCCATCTTTCTGTCTGTCCATCCATCCATTCCTCTTTTCATCTCTCCATCCATCATCCATCCATCCATCCATCCGTCTGTCCATCCATCCACTCTTCTAGCTTCCTATTTAATATGTTCTGTAAGTTCTCATTCATCCTCCCATTTTATCTACCAACCCCTTTATCCCTCCATAACTATTCCTGGTATTGGAGTATTTAATTGTGTGTGTGAGTATGTGTTTTAGATGGACAGGAAGATTACTTCTGTGACCTCATGACATATATACTTGAACTTGACCTGGTTGCACTGACAGTAGAAGGTACACATCCCAGAATCTTTTATGTTTTTACATACCTGTCTCTGTCTCTGTCTCTGTCTCTGTCTCTCTCTCTCTGTCTCTGTCTCTCTCTTTCTCTCTCTCTGTCTCTTTTTTACAGGCAACTTGACCATCAGTAAAATCAGGCTGATGTTTCTACTTATGTTTATCTAAGTGTTTAGAGTTATTTTCTAAATTTTTATAAATGTCTTCAATTCCTTGGAAAACAAACCTTCAAAATTTTTCCTGAGATGCATGCAATGTCCTAGTGATTTCCCATATTACAATTCCTATTTGGTTTATTTGTTCAGTGTGTGTGCAGTATGTGTGTACTCATGTGCTCATGCAGGCATCCATGTATGCCTGTGTGCTCTACTGTGGGCTTGTGAGTGCCACGGTGTCATGTGGAGGTTGGAAGACAGGACAGTTCTTTCCTTCCACCCTGTTGAAGCAGGCTCACTCATTTCTGATTCTGCCCTGCATTGCTCTGACCAGCTGGTCAGCATGCTTTTTATGCTTTTTGCATTTCTTTCTCTCTCTCCCTCTCTCTCTCCCTCCCTCTCTCTCTCTCTCTCTCTCTCTCTCTCTCTCTCTCTCTCTCTCTCTCTCTCTCTCTCTCTCTCTCTCTCTCTCTGTCTCTCTCTGTACCTTCCATTCTCTCTGCAGGAGTGGGGTTACAGGTCCGAACCAACCACTACATTTGCTTTTTTACATGGATTCTGGGGATCGAATTCCGGTCATAAGGCTTATACAGCTATTCCTTTGCCCACAGAACCGTCTCTCAGCTCCACGTTTACTGTTAAAATAGTGTTTTCATCTCTTCAGCCCTTCCCTACACCCTAATCCTATCCACTTTCTTTCGACAATGTTTAAATTTCTCTAAAGAAGTAGACTAAATCTCCACACAACATAACATTTATTCTAATTAGATCTATGTATAATTGGTGGAGCAAGCTTGCCACTGATTAATTCAGCTGCTCAACAAAACTTCAGACGGTATGGGGGTGAGGGTGTGAACTGGGAGAGCCCAGATCGTGGAAAGTAGAAAAAACTCAATCTAGGAAGAAAACGTTGACGGCTTCAACTACAAATATTGGAATGTGCTGTGGTGTCTTCCAGCCGAGATCACAGGCCCGATACTCAGGTCCAAGTGAGCTGAGCCACTGTGAGCTGAGCCACTGTGAGCTGAGCCACTGTGAGCTGAGCCACTGTGAGCTGAGCCACTGTGAGCTGAGCCAGCTGAGCCGAGCTGAGCCACTGTGAGCTGAGCCACTGTGAGCTGAGCCCCCGTGAGTCTTCTTGTCTTGAGAGAATCATGTTCCTTCCCCGCTACTCATTTCTCCTTCTGGAAAACAAGGCAGAGGGAACGTGCAGCTGTTGAGGTGAGGCCCTCAGACCACTGTGAATAATGGGAAACAGGGGACAACCTTCCTTGGTTTGCTCAGGACCTGGGGGTTGTGGATAAAGAGGTCAACCTAGAGAGAAAGAAGCCACCCTCGCCTGTCCACCCCGGGACAACATATCCCACCTTCATCTCAAGAAAACACAAAGAAGCCATATCTAAGTTTTGATTCCTCACATGAGGGTTAGACTCCTTTCTTTATCATTTCAACCTTCCGTGGATGGGTAGTTTTGATCTCTGTATTACAGTTGCTCAGCATTTGCTTTAAGCTGTGCATTAGGTTCCACGTTCTCTAAGGTCAGAGGTCACCTGACTTTGAGCCTCAGTATCTGGCCCACCTCCCTGTGTTCCAGCATCACCCAGCTGTGCCTGAGACAGATACACTCTGACTGTGGGATCCCTGATAATCGACGTGAGTCTCTACAGAGGGAAGGAACAGGCAGAGCTGGGAGGATCACACTGTGGTTTGGACATGATTTGAGTATGCCCCCTAAGCCCTCGTGTGCTAGACTCTTGTTCCCCAGTGTGGAGATGTGGGGTGGGGGGGCTTTAAGAGGCGGGGCCTAGTGGGAAATGATTAGGTCACTGGGCAACACCCTTGGACAGGATGGAGGCAGAATGAGTAAGTCCTCTGGGGAGCCGGTTGTCATAAGGCCGTGGCCGTAACTTTTCCCCTTTCTGCTCCTCTGCTAAGCTGCAATGCTGCATGGATATGGAAGTCCTCCCCAGACGCTGTCCAGATACAGATGGCTGCCTGATCATGGACCTCTGGCCTCCCAAACTGTAGCTAAATAATCTCCTCATTGTAAGTATCCAGCTTCAGGCATTTTGTTACAGCAGCAGGAAGCAAGCTGATACACACTCTGTAGGAAGATAGTTGAATTTCGTAAGACACCTCCGTAAGGATGACTGCTCTGTTCCTCGTACTCCATCCATTCCTGCTTTGAGGAGCCCTCTGTTGTAATGATTCTTTCCTCTTGTGAATAGCTCAGAGTCCTTTGGAATCAATCCCAAATACTCTTTAATATGTTAGAAGGTGGCTGGGAAGGGGTAAAAAGTGGCTTTGAGATAAGACTCTTCGGACATTCGTGCATCGATCAAAATAATAGGTGTTTTATAGACACCGCATGCTTAACAAATATTCCCCGGTGACTTCTGTGTCACCTAAGTGCTGGTGCTGGGTAGACATTAGATGTGGGTTGAGAATTTTTGTAGTGATAGACTAAGGCCTGCAAAAGGGACTCTCTGGAAGCCTGTGAGGACTCAGAGTAAACTAGAGAGGGAGTCAGGACTGACTTTCCTTGCTTGTACAGCCACAAGGCCTAGAGAGAGCTCTGTGTGCTGGCATTTATTTGTGTGGCTGTGTGCCGCCTGGCATGGGTGTGGTGAGTGTGTGCTGGCCTTGCCAGCGTAGGTGTTGTCTTAGTTAGGATTATTATTGCTGTGATGAAACACCATGACCAGAGCAGCTTGGGGAGGAAAGGGTCTATTCAGAGAACACTTCCATACACTGCTCATCACTGAAGGAAGTCAGGACAGGAACTCAAGCAGGGCAGGAACCTGGAGGCAGGAGCTGATGCAGAGGCCATGGAGGGGAGCTGTTTACTGGCTTGCTCCTCATGGCTTGCTCAACATGCTGTCTTATAGAACCCAGGACCACCAGAACAGGGATGGCACCACCCACAATGGGTTGGGCCCTCCCCCATCAATCACGAATTGAGAAAATGACCTACAGGGTTGACTACAGTCAGATGTTATGGAAACATTTTCTTAATTGAGGCTCTCTCTTCTCAGACGACTTTGGCTTATATCAAATTCACATAAAACTGTCCAGCACAGTTGCTATAGGGAAAATGAAGGCCATGGAGTTGGGTATTGGGTATCACATAGCTATGTTAACCCTGGGGGCACTGAGCATATAGTGGAGTCTGTTTCAGTGTCCTGGTCTCCAGCTTACCCTTTACAGGGTTTTGGGGACTATCTAACACATATTGGGTCCAGAACCTGACGTACATCCCACACTCACTAACCTCATACTTTTGAAGTGTTCCTAACTGTGGCTGAGAGGGTTTAAGGCCTCACACATTCTCATGAGGGCCGGGTGCAGGCATCCAGGGTGAGCTGGCTTCAGTGTTTGGCTCTGTCATGTTATATTTGAAATTTATACTGAAACCAATGTGCAAAGGTCCCTGGAGAGAATTAGGTGGGGGAGGCAGCAGAGGGGTGAAACATACGGTGGACTGCGTGCTGAAGAATGACTTCAATGATAGAAACAGGCTGCTGAAGAAATATGCTTTTCCAGCCCTGTCAGTCACGAACAGTTTCCAAATGTTGACATTATGTGTGATATTAATACACTATAAAGGACCCGTGGACGACTGGAAAAATACAAACATACCCTGCAAAGCCGAGTCCCGCTCAGGCTCCCCATGGCTTAGAAGCAAAAATTCACATCCCTCTCTGAATCCTAGGGTTTGGCAGTGACCGACGGCAAGGAGCCCATGAGTGGCCATCATCCACAGACCTGGGCTTTTCCAAACTCAATGTCACATCCTCATCAAACATCTCATCAAGGCTTTACCTGGTTTTTCTCCGTATGAAGGATGTTTAATTGCCTTTGCCTCCCTCATGAGGCAAAGGCAATTAAATTGCCTTCCTCTCGCTCATGGGTTTGCTAGGGCATGGTTGGTCCACATGGGAAGTAGAGGCCCATTTCTTCCTCTCTGATGGATGAGCTATTGGGGTGGAGAACAACCTTAGAGGTCAGGGGAAGGTATTCTATCAAGCCAAAGTACAAAATGAATGCACTGAGGAGCCCCGATGCATTCTGGGGCACAAGGCAGAACCCAGCTGACAGGGATGCTAATTTTCTGCTTTTGTCAATGAAAACCAGATGCCAGGCTGGCTCTGGAGCCCTGAGAATCTTCCTGAGTGAGAGACCACATGGCAATATCAGAAAGCTGGTGTGCCCGTGGGTGAGGCGGGGGCCACGTGTGGGTTAGGGCTGGTTCCCTTATTGTCTTTGGCATGGTTTATGGAAAAGTCAGAGAGAACGAATTTCAAATGATGGGTCAAAACTCAAGGTCTGAAACACATTTATTCCATCCTGGAGGTCTCCTGTATTCATGGAAATAATTCTGATAACTTGAACTTTAATCCCATTTTGCAGGTATATTACCCATAGAGCCCCATGTAAAAATATTTTTATTGCGGCATTTGCCATGCACTGAATCTTTTAGAGTTTTGTCTAGTTATGGAGGGAAGTTAAAATTGGTTGTAAATGATTCCCCTAATTTCTGTTTTGCTTTCCATTTCTTTTCTGGTTGTGCAGAGTCCAGGAACTTGCTCTTATGCAGTGGTCAGGATGGGATCTATCTTCAGGTAACTTTTTCCTCTCGCTCTAATTTTAGCTTAATGGTAAACACATGTCAAGTGTTTGACATGTGTGTGACTGATGCATGAAAATGTGGAAATAACAGATTGTTTGATGGCAAAATATAAGAAATTATACAGATGGATGACTGTTCATTCATAGGGGCAGAGCATAGATACTGTGTGTGTGTGTGGTGTGTGGTATGTGGTATGTGTGTGCGGGTGTGTGTGTGTGGTGTGTGTGTGTGTGTGTGTTTGTGTGTTTGTTTGTGGGTGTTTGTGTGTGTCTGTGTGTGTGGTGTGTGGTATGTGTGTGTGTGTGTGGTGTGTGGTATGTGTGTGTGTGTGTGGTGTGTGTTTGTGTGTGTGTTTGTGTGTGTGTGTTTGCATGTGTGTGTGTGTTTGTATGTTTGTCTGTGTGTGTGGTGTGGTGTGTGTGTGTGTGTGTGTTTGTGTGTGTTTGTGTGTGT